GTAAAAGCTTGTTGACAACACTTAACCATGTTTCCACTTCGTATCCCCCGTTCACCCTTGTTCCCGGTCTATATTTCCAGTCCTTACCCAACGGCGGCCCTCCAACCTAGTCCAATCTAATATTGTTACTCAACCCACTTCATCGCCCTCTGTAATTATCACAAAGATAAAACATAAAAAACAATTGGTTCGCACAACACCATTCAGTACGAATCCCCTTGTTCCTGCAATGTAATCGCCGCCCTCACCCACCACCGATAGTCGTAGTCAGTCGCCCTAATCCACACCCACCACCGGCCATTTTTTCATTACCCAAAAACACTCAGATTTGCACAGACACAGACCATTTGAACATGCCAAAATCACAAAAATTCGTTCCAAACTGGAATGCAAGTTTTCGTAAAAAATCAAAACGATAAACAACTCTTCGCTTACCGAGTTTTGTTGATGCTTCCAGAGATACACGCCTTTTACTCCTTCTCGCAGTTCCGTCCGCCATTTTTGTCGGCTCTAAACTATCGCGCAGCCCTTCAACATGATGTCCTTTGAGCTCTCGGATTCGCCGTTGGTCACTGTGCAATACGGACAGCCTCCCATATCTTTCGCCGATTAAACCCTACACGTTAATCCCCGACTTTTCGCTTTTTCCTTATATTAATTGCAAAAGTCGATTAACTCTTTTACTCTTTTACCCCTTACATTAATTTCTAATACTCTAACATACCAAAAGTCCACATGGTTTAATAACGTCCTTGTGCAATCTGGACCTTTAATTCCCTTGATCTGATGGTCACAACTTGACCACAATCCTCGCCTAATACCTTGACCTCACTTGAACCTCACCCTATATATATATATATATATATATATATATATATATATATATATATATATATATATATATAACAAATAAAAAAAAGGACCACTGCCGGCGCACTCGGCCGGAAGGAAAAAAAACCCCAGTTAGGAGACTCGGATGGAAAAGCCGGTCATGGAGAATCCGGTAGGAGAACGGCGAGAAGAAGAATCTGGTAGGAGAAACGAAGAGAATCCATAATGCGAGGGGACAGGGGAAATGGCGAGACTGTGACAACCCAAATTACTTTTCCCAAATTCCTATTTTATAAAGTATCAAAATAGAATTATTTATTCATTCGATGATTTATTCTAAGCTTTTGACCCGAAAGTCTATTTGAGATGTAACCGTATTTCTTCATATCAGTTTTTCCTAGCCTAAATGATTTTATTTGAGCCCAAGTGTATTCATTTTAGCCAAAGGTTTTGATTGAGCCCAAATTCATTTCAAGCCCAATCTTCTATATTTTTACCCAAACTAGAAACCCTACACCTTATATTTTATATCTAAATACCTAATTATCTAAATATAAATTATGTATATAAAATATATATGTTTTTATGTTGGGAAATAATCAGAAACCAAACAAAACCTTTGTCTGTTTCACGATATGGAGAAAGAGACAAGCAAGCTCAGTATCTCCCTTATTTTTTTCTCCTTCACCTCCCCCGTTTCTTCTCCTATCAGGAGATACGGATGGTTGACAAGTGGAGTCCATCTGTTGCTCTAGTTTGTTAGAAGCAGTTATCTTTCCCTCCCTTTCTTAGCTTTTAGAAACAGTGCATATAAAGCTTTGTATTCAGCAGTCTTTCAAATGTAATGTTGAATTCATTATGTTCCCCTTTCAATTTGTGTTCTCTTCTTGCTTCTCTGAATCATCACATGGTATCAGAGTTTTGAATGAAGTGATCTCCAAAGCATCATCCCTCAAAGGAAGCATGGCTCCCATCGACAATCGATCGACTCTGATCAGTAATCCGGCAACTGCGCCGGCAACTGCCACAAATCCTAACCTAAATCCCGCTCCGGGAACTCCTGCGCTCTACACCGATAAGTGTCCGAATATTGGGAGAGGTGAATTTCGATCCAAACCTTCAATCCAATCCCTACTTTCTGCATGCAAACAAAAATCTGGCGTTGGTGCTCGTTTCTACTCCGATGGACGGCTCAAACTGCCTCCCCTGGGCTAGGGCTATGACGATGGCTTTGTCCTGCAAAAACAAACTTGCGTTTGTTAACGGAATGATCACCAAGCCTGCGATAGACGATCGAAAGTATGATGTCTGGGAACGTTGCAACAACACAGTGGTATCGTGGATTGTTCTATCGTTATCACCGACTGTTGGTCGAAGTGTGCTCTGGATAGACACGACGTATAGAATCTGGAATGATCTGAAACAAAGATTTAGTCAACAAGATCTATTTCGAATCGCGGAAATTAAATGTGAAATCTATCGTCTCTCTGAATGAGTATTTCACTAAACAGAAAATCCTATGGGATGAGTTAATGATCCTTAGACCTACCATGTTGTGTGCAATCCGAAATGTCAATGTGGTAAAAAGGATTGATGAGATGAATGAACAAGCAGAGAAGGACAAAACTCTTTGTATTTCTGATCGGGTTGCATGATAGGTACACTGGAGCAAGAAATCAGATCATGCTCATGAGACCTTTACCTGATGTGTGTGAGCTTATTCGATGATATCACAACAAGAAAGGCAATTCCAGATGAGCACTACTGGTTTTGGAAGCCAACTTCATCAAGCAGGAGAAAATGGAAACAGTGGTAGTGTGTTTCTAGCCAATACTCACACTGGAAATCATCAGAACTATAAGAGGTTTCCTTCAGGCAACAAGAACTATAAGACATACACAAGATAAATGCTACAAGAAATATGGTTGTCCCCCTTGTTGGAAGCCAAGAACAAAGAATCAAGGTTCAGTCAATCTAGTACAAACAGAAAATCAGCCAAATCCAAATACAGCTGGTTCCTTCACTCAAACAAACTTCAAGATTTTTTGGAATTCATGCAGCTACAAAAAAATTTTGGGGGAAACTCAAACACTCCCATTGATCAGCCCCTAGCCAACACCATATCTGCAATCTCAATGCCAGTCACTCAACTAGAAGGTAAGAATCCTTCTCTGAATTCTGTAGTCCATAACAAGAATAACTGGATATTGGATAGTGGTGCTACCCACCATATTGTGTGTGATGAGAATTTGCTGAGAAATCAAAAAGAGGTCCAAAATATGCATGTTGGCTTAACTAATGCTCTGCAGGTTGCCATCACATACACTGGATCAGTGCATTTATCTGATGATGTTGTCTTACATAATGCCCTTTATGTTCCTGGATTTTGTTACAACTTAATCTCTGTTGGTGCTTTTATTCAAATCTCCAATTGTACTATGAGATTACACACTGATGAGTGCATTATACAGGATGCCCATGACAAGAGGATTGGAGCAGCTGAGCTCAAAAATAGATTGTACCATTTGGTCTTTCCTAGTGTTTTTCTTCTGTTTGCAATGTAGTTGCCACTTTGAACAAGTGTACTCTATGGCATGCTAGACTAGGGCATGCCTCATACACCAAAATCCAATGTTTGCCACAAACTAGATCCCACTATACAAATGAATAAAGATTTAGTTTGTGATTGTTGTTACCTTGCTAAGCAGAAAAGGTTTCCTTTCCAGCCCAGTTTATCTAATTCAGTTGCTTGTTTTGATTTGTTACATATGGACATTTGGGGCCCCTACAAAGTTGCTACTCCCCATGGCCATCATTACTTCCTCACCATATTAGATGACCACAACAGATATAGTATGGTACACTTAATGAAGAAGAAGTCTGAGTGTTAGAAACTTGATCACATCTTTCTGCAGTTTAGTTGAGAATCAGTTTGACACAAAGGTGAAGTGTATAAGGACAGACAATGGCCTAGAGTTTGACATGGTTGATTTTTTTAATCAAAAAGGGATAGTGCATCAAACCTCCTACACTCACACTCCTAAGCAAAACAGTAGGGTGGAAAGAAAGCATGGTCACCTTCTATGTACAACAAGGGCTCTCATATTCCAAGCTGGTTTGCCAGAATCGTTCTGGGGAGAATGTATACTACATGCAGCCTATATTATCAATAGACTACCCTCTGTTGCCATCAATAATCAAGTTCCATATCAGCTCCTGCTTCACAAAGATCCTCAATATCAACATTTAAGGGTCTTTGGATGCCTAGCATATGCCACTACAGTGCGGTCCCAAATCAAAATTTGACCCTAGAGCTAAGAAGTATATCTTCCTTGGATATGCCAATGAGTTAAAGGTTACGAGCTGTATGACTTACAAGCCAGAAGTTTTTTCATCTCCAGGGATGTGGTATTCTATGAACATGTGTTTCCTCAACAACACATGGATAAACCAGAACAGGCGTTCAATCTGATTATATTGCATGTTCTAGATGGTGCCCCAGAAGAAGATGTAGTGGTTGAAAGTATGGTGGCTCCACAACCCCATATTTCAGACAATTCAGTTCCTTGCAGTCCTGAGCTGACAGCTGAATCTAGTGAATGTGATTACCCTCATGATGATGTTATCTTTGAGGAAACAAATGAAGCATATAGTCCTCCATCTGAGCAGCCAGTTATAATGAAGTCTATCAGACACAAGCAGGCTCTCACCTACCTGAAAGACTATGTGTGCCACAATTCTATAGTCAAAACATACCTCTCCACACAATCTGCATAAGGTTCTAAGCTATGATATGCTTTCACCTTCTTTTCAGTCCTTTGTGATGAATATTACTTGCACTACTGAGCCCAGGAACTATAGTGAGGCAGTGAAACATGAATGTTGGAGAAAAGCCATGCATGATGAGATTTCTGCTCTTGAAAAGAATAACACCTGGAAACTAGTTGACCTGCCTCCCTCAAAGAAATCTATAGGCTGCAAGTGGGTATATAAGATCAAGCATAAATCAGATGGTAGCATTGACAGATATAAAGCCAGATTAGTAGCCAAAGGCTACACTCAAACACTTGGGGGTGGATTACCTTGACACCTTCAGTCCAGTGGCTAAGGTAACTACAATCAGAACCTTCCTTGCTATTGCAGCAGCTAAGGATTGGCACCTTCACCAAATGGATGTCAACAATGCATTCCTCCATGGAGAACTAGATGAGGAGGTTTATATGCAAATTCCACTTGGCTTTGAGAAAAAAAAGAATAAGGGCCAGGTGTGCAGACTAAACAAGTCCTTATATGGGCTCAAACAGGCTAACAGACAATGGAACACTAAGTTGAATTCAGCTCTGCAATCTATGGGGTTTAAACAGTCCTTGCTAACAATTCTTTGTTGTTAAAGGAGAAGGAAGGTCCTTTGTGGCATTGTTGGTGTATGTAGATGAACATAATAGTGGGAAGTGCAAATCTGAACCTGATACAACAGATCAAGTTGCAGCTAAATGACAACTTTCAGATAAAAGATCTTGGACCCTTAAAGTACTTCCTAGGATTAGAAGTAGTAGCTAGGCAGAGAAAAGGGATTGCCATATCTCAAATGAAGTATGCACTTGAGCTGTTAACAGATACAGGTTTTGAGAATGCTAAACCAGTTCACAGTCCCACTTCTCCATCACACAAGCTCAGCAAAAATGAAGGAACTCTGCTGGATGATAATACTCATTACAGGAGATTAGTAGGGAAACTCCTATACATAACTATCGCCAGACCTGACATAAATTTTGCCACACAACTTTCTCAGTTCCTGGACACTCCTACTGATTTACATCTATAAGCAGCTCACAGGATCTTTGACCATCTAGTTCTGGCGGTTTCATACTTGCGTCCATCCTGATTACAACAACCAGACAACGAACACACAGAGAGACTTGCACAAAAACAGAGAGAATGCAAAACTAAAACAGCCCTTCGGATCAAGTCACTATGTAGACTTAAAAGCTCTGATACCACATGTAATTTTGCAATTCCTCATTTTAAGTAACTTAACAGAATTAGATGACTGATGTAGATTACTGATTGATTCAGATAAGAGACCAGTCAGTAATGATAAATCATGAAGAGAGTATACGAGAAAGATAACCGCACAAAAGCCAAAGACATAGAATGTTTACCCAGTTCAATACGGTGTGTATCTACGTCTGGGGGACGATCACATAGGTGTCCAATCCACTAAATCATAAACCAATGTACAAAGGTAGATATACAATAATCTTACCCAAGTGCCCCACACAAGGTTCAAACCCAGTCTACACAGGTCTAGTGGATTGTTGAAGATGGAGAGCCATGCATACAGAAGTCCAATGAAATCCCTTCACTTGGAGAACCACTCTGATGCAGTCCACTTCAATGACGCTCTATAAGGTTGTTCCCACAACAGTGTGATCACAGTGTCCTTTCGTTTAAGCAGCAGTAACTCTTCTCAAGTTCATCATCTTAGTCACCGTGAACATATTGTATTGAGAAGATACATGACAATCAAAGATCTAATCTCATGTAGCAGATATGGAGTGTTTCTTCTTAATTTCGGCGTAACCCTAATTCTCCTCAAATAAGGGTACTTATAAATCCTTCAAAAACCACTCTCCATAGATGTCTTTGATTGTAGAAGGTAGGACTATAAAAGAGGAATGTAATCTCAGAAGATTAGGTCCATATCTTTCTTAAGAATATACACTGATCATCTTTCCATATGAGTCTGATAATACCGCGTAAGCCTTTTAAGAAACCAGCTTTCTAAATCAGATCTTCAGTGTCAGTCCTTCTGTTGTTGCTTCTGATTGATCAGTTATCCATAGAGATAAACGGACAGACTCTAAACCTATCTTAGTATGCCATAATAATATTGCCAATTATAATATGGGGTTTTTGAACATTTAAAAACACTAACAATAAATAGTATTGGCCCTCCAAACACCTTTTTCTTTTTTGTAGCACACTTTCCGTGGCATTCAACCAGCTCATCAACTACATACTTGCACCAATTTAAATCTTTAATCCTGCTCACATCTTTGGGTTCATGAAGGATGTCCTGAGTAGCATACCCATTCTGTTGTATGCATACCAGTACGCTACTCACCAATACTGCAAAATGCCTCCTAAATCACTCACCGCCGTCCTTTGCTTTAATTAACTCTACTCCAATCATGTATGGTGTAATTGTGTGGTCATCCTTGTTGAACTTTGCTCTCCATGTGTCTAGCTCTGCACATTGTGCATTCCTCCTTCTTTTTTGAATCACCATATTTCCTCGTGGGAATCCTAGTACTCTTTCCACATCTTCCTCTCTTATTTCCAACATCCGTCCCTGTCCTAAGTTTACTCTCTTTGTGCTTGCATCGAAGTTCTTCAACAACCAATTTCCCATTAGCAGGGGCGTGTCCTCCACATGTAACTGTAGCAAGCCTCCGAATACGATTTCCCGTACTGCATTTCGTTGCAAGGTACCAAATTTCTTTATTGGATCCACCAGATAACGAGCACTTGCATGTGTGTTGAAAGTTGGGAACCTTTTCTCCTCTTCAGGGAGCAACTCGTACTCACTACCTCCATGATTTTGTTGCGTTTGTGGCCTCCGTACTTGGACCGGTGGGCTAACAAAGTCATTGTCGGGATCCACGTTTCTTGCAACTGTTCCCTACTTGTTTGTGCTCTTCGCTTTCTTCCCTGCAAAATGTTAGGACTCCTTGTTCATTCTTAAAGTGGTTCCATTCTAACATTATGTTTGCACACAGATTATACTCAGGCTGTCACATCAACATTTCACAAAATTCAATGCTCGTTTGGTATTTTTGTATTCATTATTTAATTAAACTGCTTATTCCATATAATACTACACTAAATATTCCCGATCCACAGTTTTCTATGGCGCAACTACCTTTTCCACCAACACTTATTCCAATCTATCTCTTTTCATGCCAATATTTAATTCTGTTGTGCTATTAGTGGTCCCTACCTGTTGTTTTTATTCATATCATCACATTTATATGGATACCAATTGAAGTTTAACCACACCCTTTTTGCAATCTTTGTTAAAATCAAAATCTATACTTTCTGTCTCCATTATTTTTTTTCTTGGCAGTGTGTGGACCTTTTCATTTTGTGTAATCCTCTACATATTTGTGAGGTCTGACTCTTCTACACCGAGTACGGTGGCTGTACTACACTACACTTAACCCACCGTAATAAAAACCATTTAAACCATAATTGGTAAAAGCTTGTTGACAACACTTAACCATGTTTCCACTTCGTATCCCCCGTTCACCCTTGTTCCCGGTCTATATTTCCAGTCCTTACCCAACGGCGGCCCTCCAACCTAGTCCAATCTAATATTGTTACTCAACCCACTTCATCGCCCTCTGTAATTATCACAAAGATAAAACATAAAAAACAATTGGTTCGCACAACACCATTCAGTACGAATCCCCTTGTTCCTGCAATGTAATCGCCGCCCTCACCCACCACCGATAGTCGTAGTCAGTCGCCCTAATCCACACCCACCACCGGCCATTTTTTCATTACCCAAAAACACTCAGATTTGCACAGACACAGACCATTTGAACATGCAAAATCACAAAAATTCGTTCCAAACTGGAATGCAAGTTTTCGTAAAAAATCAAAACGATAAACAACTCTTCGCTTACCGAGTTTTGTTGATGCTTCCAGAGATACACGCCTTTTACTCCTTCTCGCAGTTCCGTCCGCCATTTTTGTCGGCTCTAAACTATCGCGCAGCCCTTCAACATGATGTCCTTTGAGCTCTCGGATTCGCCGTTGGTCACTGTGCAATACGGACAGCCTCCCATATCTTTCGCCGATTAAACCCTACACGTTAATCCCCGACTTTTCGCTTTTTCCTTATATTAATTGCAAAAGTCGATTAACTCTTTTACTCTTTTACCCCTTACATTAATTTCTAATACTCTAACATACCAAAAGTCCACATGGTTTAATAACGTCCTTGTGCAATCTGGACCTTTAATTCCCTTGATCTGATGGTCACAACTTGACCACAATCCTCGCCTAATACCTTGACCTCACTTGAACCTCACCCTATATATATATATATATATATATATATATATATATATATATATATATATATATATATATATAACAAATAAAAAAAAAGGACCACTGCCGGCGCACTCGGCCGGAAGGAAAAAAAACCCCAGTTAGGAGACTCGGATGGAAAAGCCGGTCATGGAGAATCCGGTAGGAGAACGGCGAGAAGAAGAATCTGGTAGGAGAAACGAAGAGAATCCATAATGCGAGGGGACAGGGGAAATGGCGAGACTGTGACAACCCAAATTACTTTTCCCAAATTCCTATTTTATAAAGTATCAAAATAGAATTATTTATTCATTCGATGATTTATTCTAAGCTTTTGACCCGAAAGTCTATTTGAGATGTAACCGTATTTCTTCATATCAGTTTTTCCTAGCCTAAATGATTTTATTTGAGCCCAAGTGTATTCATTTTAGCCAAAGGTTTTGATTGAGCCCAAATTCATTTCAAGCCCAATCTTCTATATTTTTACCCAAACTAGAAACCCTACACCTTATATTTTATATCTAAATACCTAATTATCTAAATATAAATTATGTATATAAAATATATATGTTTTTATGTTGGGAAATAATCAGAAACCAAACAAAACCTTTGTCTGTTTCACGATATGGAGAAAGAGACAAGCAAGCTCAGTATCTCCCTTATTTTTTTCTCCTTCACCTCCCCCGTTTCTTCTCCTATCAGGAGATACGGATGGTTGACAAGTGGAGTCCATCTGTTGCTCTAGTTTGTTAGAAGCAGTTATCTTTCCCTCCCTTTCTTAGCTTTTAGAAACAGTGCATATAAAGCTTTGTATTCAGCAGTCTTTCAAATGTAATGTTGAATTCATTATGTTCCCCTTTCAATTTGTGTTCTCTTCTTGCTTCTCTGAATCATCACATGGTATCAGAGTTTTGAATGAAGTGATCTCCAAAGCATCATCCCTCAAAGGAAGCATGGCCTCCCATCGACAATCGATCGACTCTGATCAGTAATCCGGCAACTGCGCCGGCAACTGCCACAAATCCTAACCTAAATCCCGCTCCGGGAACTCCTGCTGCTCCTACACCGATAAGTGTCCCGAATATTGGAGAGGTGAATTTCGATCCAAACCTTCAATCCAATCCCTACTTTCTGCATGCAAACAAAAATCTGGCGTTGGTGCTCGTTTCTACTCCGATGGACGGCTCAAACTGCCTCCCCTGGGCTAGGGCTATGACGATGGCTTTGTCCTGCAAAAACAAACTTGCGTTTGTTAACGGAATGATCACCAAGCCTGCGATAGACGATCGAAAGTATGATGTCTGGGAACGTTGCAACAACACAGTGGTATCGTGGATTGTTCTATCGTTATCACCGACTGTTGGTCGAAGTGTGCTCTGGATAGACACGACGTATAGAATCTGGAATGATCTGAAACAAAGATTTAGTCAACAAGATCTATTTCGAATCGCGGAAATTAAATGTGAAATCTATCGTCTCTCTGAATGAGTATTTCACTAAACAGAAAATCCTATGGGATGAGTTAATGATCCTTAGACCTACCATGTTGTGTGCAATCCGAAATGTCAATGTGGTAAAAAGGATTGATGAGATGAATGAACAAGCAGAGAAGGACAAACTCTTTGTATTTCTGATCGGGTTGCATGATAGGTACACTGGAGCAAGAAATCAGATCATGCTCATGAGACCTTTACCTGATGTGTGTGAGGCTTATTCGATGATATCACAACAAGAAAGGCAATTCCAGATGAGCACTACTGGTTTTGGAAGCCAACTTCATCAAGCAGGAGAAAATGGAAACAGTGGTAGTGTGTTTCTAGCCAATACTCACACTGGAAATCATCAGAACTATAAGAGGTTTCCTTCAGGCAACAAGAACTATAAGACATACACAAGATAAATGCTACAAGAAATATGGTTGTCCCCCTTGTTGGAAGCCAAGAACAAAGAATCAAGGTTCAGTCAATCTAGTACAAACAGAAAATCAGCCAAATCCAAATACAGCTGGTTCCTTCACTCAAACAAACTTCAAGATTTTTTGGAATTCATGCAGCTACAAAAAAATTTTGGGGGAAACTCAAACACTCCCATTGATCAGCCCCTAGCCAACACCATATCTGCAATCTCAATGCCAGTCACTCAACTAGAAGGTAAGAATCCTTCTCTGAATTCTGTAGTCCATAACAAGAATAACTGGATATTGGATAGTGGTGCTACCCACCATATTGTGTGTGATGAGAATTTGCTGAGAAATCAAAAAGAGGTCCAAAATATGCATGTTGGCTTAACTAATGCTCTGCAGGTTGCCATCACATACACTGGATCAGTGCATTTATCTGATGATGTTGTCTTACATAATGCCCTTTATGTTCCTGGATTTTGTTACAACTTAATCTCTGTTGGTGCTTTTATTCAAATCTCCAATTGTACTATGAGATTACACACTGATGAGTGCATTATACAGGATGCCCATGACAAGAGGATTGGAGCAGCTGAGCTCAAAAATAGATTGTACCATTTGGTCTTTCCTAGTGTTTTTTCTTCTGTTTGCAATGTAGTTGCCACTTTGAACAAGTGTACTCTATGGCATGCTAGACTAGGGCATGCCTCATACACCAAAATCCAATGTTTGCACAAACTAGATCCCACTATACAAATGAATAAAGATTTAGTTTGTGATTGTTGTTACCTTGCTAAGCAGAAAAGGTTTCCTTTCCAGCCCAGTTTATCTAATTCAGTTGCTTGTTTTGATTTGTTACATATGGACATTTGGGGCCCCTACAAAGTTGCTACTCCCCATGGCCATCATTACTTCCTCACCATATTAGATGACCACAACAGATTAGTATGGGTACACTTAATGAAGAAGAAGTCTGAGGTTAGAAACTTGATCACATCTTTCTGCAGTTTAGTTGAGAATCAGTTTGACACAAAGGTGAAGTGTATAAGGACAGACAATGGCCTAGAGTTTGACATGGTTGATTTTTTTAATCAAAAAGGGATAGTGCATCAAACCTCCTACACTCACACTCCTAAGCAAAACAGTAGGGTGGAAAGAAAGCATGGTCACCTTCTATGTACAACAAGGGCTCTCATATTCCAAGCTGGTTTGCCAGAATCGTTCTGGGGAGAATGTATACTACATGCAGCCTATATTATCAATAGACTACCCTCTGTTGCCATCAATAATCAAGTTCCATATCAGCTCCTGCTTCACAAAGATCCTCAATATCAACATTTAAGGGTCTTTGGATGCCTAGCATATGCCACTACAGTGGGTCCCAAATCAAAATTTGACCCTAGAGCTAAGAAGTATATCTTCCTTGGATATGCCAATGAGGTTAAAGGTTACGAGCTGTATGACTTACAAGCCAGAAGTTTTTTCATCTCCAGGGATGTGGTATTCTATGAACATGTGTTTCCTCAACAACACATGGATAAACCAGAACAGGGGTTCAATCTGATTATATTGCATGTTCTAGATGGTGCCCCAGAAGAAGATGTAGTGGTTGAAAGTATGGTGGCTCCACAACCCCATATTTCAGACAATTCAGTTCCTTGCAGTCCTGAGCTGACAGCTGAATCTAGTGAATGTGATTACCCTCATGATGATGTTATCTTTGAGGAAACAAATGAAGCATATAGTCCTCCATCTGAGCAGCCAGTTATAATGAAGTCTATCAGACACAAGCAGGCTCTCACCTACCTGAAAGACTATGTGTGCCACAATTCTATAGTCAAAACATACCTCTCCACACAATCTGCATAAGGTTCTAAGCTATGATATGCTTTCACCTTCTTTTCAGTCCTTTGTGATGAATATTACTTGCACTACTGAGCCCAGGAACTATAGTGAGGCAGTGAAACATGAATGTTGGAGAAAAGCCATGCATGATGAGATTTCTGCTCTTGAAAAGAATAACACCTGGAAACTAGTTGACCTGCCTCCCTCAAAGAAATCTATAGGCTGCAAGTGGGTATATAAGATCAAGCATAAATCAGATGGTAGCATTGACAGATATAAAGCCAGATTAGTAGCCAAAGGCTACACTCAAACACTTGGGGTGGATTACCTTGACACCTTCAGTCCAGTGGCTAAGGTAACTACAATCAGAACCTTCCTTGCTATTGCAGCAGCTAAGGATTGGCACCTTCACCAAATGGATGTCAACAATGCATTCCTCCATGGAGAACTAGATGAGGAGGTTTATATGCAAATTCCACTTGGCTTTGAGAAAAAAAGAATAAGGGCCAGGTGTGCAGACTAAACAAGTCCTTATATGGGCTCAAACAGGCTAACAGACAATGGAACACTAAGTTGAATTCAGCTCTGCAATCTATGGGGTTTAAACAGTCCTTGCCTAACAATTCTTTGTTTGTTAAAGGAGAAGGAAGGTCCTTTGTGGCATTGTTGGTGTATGTAGATGACATAATAGTGGGAAGTGCAAATCTGAACCTGATACAACAGATCAAGTTGCAGCTAAATGACAACTTTCAGATAAAAGATCTTGGACCCTTAAAGTACTTCCTAGGATTAGAAGTAGCTAGGCAGAGAAAAGGGATTGCCATATCTCAAATGAAGTATGCACTTGAGCTGTTAACAGATACAGGTTTTGAGAATGCTAAACCAGTTCACAGTCCCACTTCTCCATCACACAAGCTCAGCAAAAATGAAGGAACTCTGCTGGATGATAATACTCATTACAGGAGATTAGTAGGGAAACTCCTATACATAACTATCGCCAGACCTGACATAAATTTTGCCACACAACTTTCTCAGTTCCTGGACACTCCTACTGATTTACATCTATAAGCAGCTCACAGGATCTTAAGATATATCAAAGGGGCACCTGGTCAAGGGCTTTTCTTCCCAGCCTCCTCCAGTTTGCAGTTATCAGCTTTTTCTGACTCAGATTGGGGAGCTTGTGTGAATACTAGGAGGTCCATTACTGGTTTCTGTGTCTTCCTACGAGATGATTTGGTCTCATGGAAATCTAAGAAGCAAGTTACAGTTTCAAAATCATCTTCAGAGGCTGAATATAGAGTCTTAGCAGCCACTACTTGTGAGATACAATGGCTGCTTTATCTACTGAATGAGTTTGGATTGCATGTTGATGTTCCTGCACCTCTTTATTATGACAGTAAGTCAGCAATAGCCATTGCTGAGAACCCCGTTTTTCATGAACGCACCAAGAATATTGAGTTGGACTGTCACTTGGTTAGGGAAAAACACTTTTGCATGTGACTTCTGCAAATCAATTGGAAGATGTGTTCACCAACACCCATTGTCCGAGCTCCTTCAATCCATATGTTTGCAAGCTTGGATTGTTTAGTCTATACAATCCAGCTTGCGGGGGGCTATCAGGAGATACGGATGGTTGACAAGTGGAGTCAATTCGTTGCTCTAGTTTGTTAGAAGCAGTTATCTTTTCCTCCCTTTCTTAGCTTTTAGAAACAGTGCATATAAAGCTTTGTATTCAGCAGTCTTTCAAATGTAATGTTGAATCATTCTGTTCCCCTTTCAATCTGTGTTCTCTTCTTTCTTCTCTAAATCATCACATATCCTCTTCCTCGTATGGCAGCAAACAAACACCACCATCATCAAACCCTTATTCTGTTTCTATCTTCCTCTCATCTCCCTCACTCCTTCCGGCGAGGCAGCAGTGGCGGTAGTGGTTGGCGACGGGAAGAGCAGCAACCTGACCCCCGACCTTCTCTGTGCCGGCGAGCAAGGCAGCAACAGATCTGACGGCTGGGTCTCCTCCGACGGAACAGATCCGACAACCTCCAGCTTTCTCCGGCGATACGTGGCGAGCAGCGGTGCAGCTGGAGCAGATCCGTCGAGGCTGGCCTCTTCTCCGGCGAGCTGAAGTAAGCTGGGCAATGGTGGGGAGTTGAGGATGAAGATAATAGACTAAGTTGATGAAGACGTCAAAATTTTATGTTGGCAGTGGCAAGACGTGGTGATGCGAAGCAGATGAATGGCAGATGATGAAGGTACTTAGCATATTGATAAAGATGCTATAATTATTGGATTATTATATTGATGGGATGTTAGTATGTTATTAATGAGTATGGATTAATATTAGAATGTCATTGATGAAGAGGAACAAGAGTTTGACGTGAGGATGAAGATGCTATGTACGTACGGTGGGTGATGGTTGGAGATGAAGATTAGTAAATGAATTTATTAATGTTAATAAAGATTAGTTGTCAAGTTAATCATTAATGAATAATGTGGTACAATGGTTAGAATGATGGTGCGGTATGAGAATAGTAAGGGTTTAAATCTCTTATTTAACATTTTAGCCACAATTTATATAATTTGCTTTTGGGAGGATTGAGACCATAACACATTATAATAATTGTAGTTAATGAGGATTACGTTGGTGGAGTGGTTAGAGCTTTGATTTTGTAAAGAGAAGACTTAAGTTCAATTCTGGCTAAGTATATAATTTTAGTTTTATACTTAACTATTTTGCAGGGATTAAGGAAGTGTTGGGATTTGGATAAAGAGAAGTAAGGATGGGATTATGGAATCAATTATTTTAAGAAGAGAAGTATTTAAGTAATGATATTAAAAATGGTTAATACTATTATCGTTGATAATAATAGTATGAGTAACGAAAGAGGTTCGGTTGATTTACAGTTTCCTCGTTGAAGTGGCTAGCTCGGGAGTGAGCTCAAGATCGAGTGTTTGGCTTTTGGAGTTCGGATAAAGGTATAACCTCATGGACTCCCAATATCTTTTGACTATGTGAAGTCACTTTAGAAATGTGTAGAAATGCTAGCATATTGTGTATTTGAGCTATTAGGTGTCTTGTTGATGTTGTATGATGTGTTGTTGATGTTTTGGAAGTGGAAAATTGTCTGAAAATGCTTTACAGGTGAAGAAGAAGC